TAGGGAGGTATTTTACGGGTTACCTTATGCGGAATCTAATCGTACAGAGTGGTGTGTTATATGTGCAGCCGAACGACGTATGTGAGGTCAGTACGTTGACGGAGTCACGATTATGTCGATGATTATACAAATTAAGAAGTCTAGGGTAAGCTTTTCTATGAGAATCCACAAAGACGGACCAAAACAATTGCCGTATCAGTCGGTAAACGGGTCTCTCATATTGTTAAATGCTTCACCAAAGCCGACAGCTAGCAAAGGAGAATTTCTATCTTTATAAATCCACATTTAGATAAGAGCTGAGGCAAACATGGCTGTGATGATATAAGAGGTAGCGGAAACCTCAGCGGCGGGTGGCCGAAATTTCTAGTTGCAGCGTTGTTTACTTCTACAGGGAATCCAACAATACTATTTGGGCTTTAGGGATCCGTAAGCTAAGCTGGTGGTAAGCTGAAGTTAGACAGTCTAACCCAGCTGTCGATGGAGTCTTTTCCTTAACGGGAAATTCTTACGCTAATTCCTGGGATTTCAAAAGCAAGCAGACTTTTTAAACAGGAGAAATTTTGCGGTAGCAACCACTGTTGACAGATGAAAAAGGGGCATCTCAAGGGTTGTGCCACTAGATGGCCGCTGCATGGCAGCCGAAATGGGCAGGGGAATAGTGGGAGAGATGCTCAGGCATGTGGTAAATTGTCAGATTAACTTACCTCAGCCGTGGTTACGGTGTTCGACAGTCTACAAATAAAAGTGGAACAAAAATAAGGATTTGATTTTTTAAAAGAACAGGACGGCGTCGTTCACAGACCGGAAGTGAAAATCTGCTGCCTAATTATGCAACCCACCAACCAAAAGGTTGATATCGTTTACCGGATAGACTGTCACTGTGCTCAAGCCAATTACGTCGGCGAGACAGATTCACGCGATTCACGGGCATGAGCTCGCGGTGAGACGGGAGGATGAAGTTTCTTTGGTAGCCGCCTACGCGTCCTCATCAGAACGAGTGCGTGAGAATCTTGGGTCAGTCGGACGACCGAAGTGCACGCCTGCTGCAGTGTCACTGGACCGACGGCTCTATTAATAGGCATATAGATTTGCCAGCCGCTTATCAGACACTGTGCAAAAAATCAGTGGCGCTGCTGATGGTCATTCTCGGCAGAGGTGAGTTAAATATACAATGAGTTGTACAATCGTTAATTCTTTGACGTGAGAGTTCGAAAGGTCTGATGGTCCGACGAATAGACCACCCTCTTCTCTCTTAATTAGTACCTTTGTCGGGAATACGATCAAAGAGTATTACAATCTATTATGGAACCACTTGCCCGTTGATATCGTCGGTGGAGTACGGATTAAGTGCTGTTTCTACACTTTCGAGTAGCCATCTACTTGCTTTGCGTCTACAATAAAATTAAGACCTCTCGGCATTCCATAGATGTA